TATATATATATATACATATATATATATATATGTATATATATACATATGTATATATATATGTATATATATACATATGTATATATATATGTATATATATATATATATATATATATGTATGTATATATATATATATATGTATATATATATATATGTATATGTATATATGTATATGTATATATATATATATGTATATGTATATATGTATATGTATATATGTATATGTATATATATGTGTATATATATACACATATATATATATATATATACATATATATATATATATATGTATTTATATATGTATATATATACACATATATATACATATATATATATATACATATATATATATATACATACATTTATATATATATATATACATATATACATATATATGGAATGTTACTGTTGACCACACGCGCACTATAAACTAAGTTAAAAACAATTTGTGATCGCTACGCGCTTTCCTATAGATTGATTATTCCATTGTTACATAATTAGGCAAGATAAGATGAGCAATTAGTCTCATTCTAATTCACTTTTAGATCACTAATGGACTCAAAAAATCTTAATTATAATTAAAGATATCTTTGCCCTTTCGAATTAGTTTCTTTTTTTTTCTTTTGCTGATATGCTTCAATAAAAGAGGCAACCTTGTAATTATTTGATTAGCAATATCTTTTGGTTTCACAAAAAAAAAAAGGGTAAATTCTTTTAAAAAAATTAGATTTAAAAAATTCTCATAATGCGGTCCCATTATTTCGTAAGATGATTTTGTCCCTTCATCACATTGGCTATCACCTCTACTTCTAACCACCTCTTATACCACCGACAATAACCATGATCAATTGCCTTAGTCATTTGCAAAGGGACCGTGTGCAAAGAAGGAAGAGATGCAAGATTTGCCATTGCCTCCACCCCTAGCCACCTCTATCATAACCTTAGTGAAGGGGTTTATTGGTGAGGGTGAGGGCTTCGCCCACCATCACCATGGCGAGGCAAGGACGATTAAGACAAGAGTACGTGGGATGTTCCTTTGCTCATCATCACATTAGCGAGGGTGAGGACAATGAGAGCAATAATGACAATAGAAGAAGAGGAGAGGGGAGGCGAGGTCGACAAGGGCAATATCATTATATAAAAAAATATATATTTTATGAGAATTTTTTTAAAAAAGAGTTCTAACAGATTTTTTTTTTAAAAAAAAGAGTTCTAACAGAGAATTTTTTTTTTTAAAAGAGCTTTTATGAGAATTTTCCCAAATAAAAATGACTATTCTATTCGAAAATTCCTCTCCGACCTACTTTGATAAATTTGATAGATGTTGAAAAGACTAAGAATTCAATAGATGATCCAATAGAAGTTATGATGAGAACGTATTATTTGATACTCAAGTTATTGAAGACTAGAGATAGTCTGAAAAAATCTTAAAATTAAAATGTTCTCAAATCTAGATAAGAACATACTTGAGGGGGTTTTTGTAATGTTCCAAAGTTATCATTAGGTCAGAATCACATCGGGTTGATGAGAATATTAACGATATTTTCTTATAACCGTAATAGAGTCAACGATAAGATGTTTAATTTAAGTTGTTGAACTTGACTATTTGCATGGATAGAGACGGAAGGACATCAACCTGCAATCCATTTCTCTCTCTCTCTCTCTCTCTCTCTCTCTCTCTCTCTCTTTATGGTATTCTATTAATAAGATGTGTTCTTTATTTAATATTTTTTATGAAAAACTTTTGCCGTTTGGAATAAGATAACGTGATGCTGATGGACCAGACTAATCACGGTCATCCAATTATATCAAGTGTCTTCTGGGTTTGGTACTTCCATGTAATATAAAGGCAAGTATTGGGTGTTTTGTTCGTCAACCAGCGCGAAAGGATAATGCCCCATTGACTTCTTTCATCTCAAATAATGAAGCAATAATTGAAATATGTTGCATGAATCCTGTTATTTTATCTTTAGTTGTTCGAACCCATGGGGGGGGATCAGTAGTCGATTCTCACGTCGTTCCACCTTCCATACTCCGACTGACCATTCTAAATTTCACGTAGATGTATGTCACAGGCTGCCAAGGAGGCAAATGGACATGCATTAGTTGGAGAAATAGCACAAGCCACAATAATTCATGTATTGAGTAAATATGACATGGCATTCTTATGATATTCATCCGTACACTCGATGACCTCGATCAACCTATCGATGACCTCGTATAGTCCTTCCTATAAGAGACTTAAATCATATTAGAACAAAAATTAAAAATCTAACATAATTAAAATAAAAAAAACTAAAAGAAAAATTATAAATTAAACTCGGGAGTGTTATACATTGTCATATTGTGCGGGTTAATAAAATCGAGATACAATCGAGAGTCAATTTCATGAACGTGAAAATGTTGAAGACTGTCGACGAACGTGGGAACGTTGAAGATCACCTACGCGCATGACCTTGGGAGTGTTGAAAAACGATCCACACACCAAAAATAAATAAAATTAAAATTTTAGAGGAAAAGAGAAGCTAAAAATTCTCTTCGATCATGTTCCTTAACGAAAGCAAGCCTCGTGTTTAGCCGGGTGGTCGAGTATCAATCCTGCGAGGAGGCGACGCAGAACATGACGACGAACGCATGTCGCAGCGATGGTAGTAAATGTCTGAAGGCAAGCATCGCAAAACTGTGGTGGCAAACGTCTGGGATATCGCTGCCAATGCGTATGAAGGAAATCCTCACAATATTCCTGCTGGTTGTAAAGCTATGTTCTTATGTTTATGAGGAAATAAAATTGGGTTCGATCAAGTTCGACGCTATTACTTAGAAAAACATATGTTTTACTGCAGCATGAATTTGTGTTGGTCTACCCTCAGCCATGGACTCGTTCAATGTGGGGGGTCACGATCATAGCTGAGCCAAGAGATGCTCGGCGTAGAAACTCTTGTAGTGGCAGATATTTCGAATTCAATGCGACGAAGAGTCTGTGAGAGTCAGAATTAAAAAAGTGTGGGAATTGCTGGAGTCGAGTCAGTCAACCTGGCAGACGGCTGGCTAACCATGGACTTCTCGGTGGATTTTTGACATCACACAATTGGACTCTTCTATTGGTTGGTCAATAGCGAGGGGGCTAATGAAAACCTATAGTCCTCACAAGGCGGCAGACGGCTGGCTTCTCAGCATGGATTCCAAGCCGTTCCAAATGGCTTTCCAAGTCGTGTCTCTTTCTTGTGCACTTTCCAAGTCAACCAGCTGCTGATATATTATTATTAATCACAATACGAGAACACTAACGCGCATTCTTATAGACTAACTATTCCGTTTTCTCAGAACGAGGCACAGTTAGGATGAGCGGATATTTCCATAGACAGAGACAACACGATGATGCATCTATCACGTTAGACGACTTAGAAATTTATAACGTAGACACTTACTTGTGGAAAAAAAGAAAATGGAAATAAAAGTATAGTACTTAAGGAGGACCACGTGAGTTGACTTCTGGAGGGAAATAAACAGTCAGCGCCCGCTGGTGGTATAGCATAATCACGATGTCCAACAGAGACCTGGAAAATGATCACTTATTGCTTTATTGCGTGAGACTTTGCATCGATAAACATATTTTTATTCTTACAGGCAGTTTGTGATTTTTATTATTTGAATCGTCACAAATTCCTTTTGTTGCAAAAATAAAAATAAAAATAAAAAGTTTGAAATCAAAATCTACCATGACAATCCTTTTTTCGAGTCATATATGCATTTTACTACCGTGAGTAAATGTTAACCGATTCTCTGATACCTTTGTCTCACCCAGAATGACTGACAAAGTATAAACCATTTGCACGGCCGAGCTAAACCAGGAATTCGATTACCAGTTGGTAAGAACATATCATGGCAGAGTAATCTATATATCAATAATAATCCAGTGCAATAAATATTTCTTCAGGACTCGACACATCCAGTTCAACGGCATTGACAATTGCGTAGCATGTGTTTTAATAATAATCCGATGGAACATCTCTCAAGACTTCGTCAACGTGATTGACTGTTGATTAGTAATAGCTCCAGTTTTTCACTGGAAGAGGTTGCGTATATCTGCAACCAATTTCTCTCTATAATTAGGCAAGTTCGTCCCTCTGGGAGAAGGCATCACTGACTGTCTTCTTCTTATCTCTCTGCTGCTCGAGCCTCAGGAGCTCCTTCCCTCGATAACACCAGTGTAAGCATCTTTCTCTTTCTATTTGTACGAAGAATAACGCAAAGATCCAAATAATTCGACTTAAAACTATATGAATGCTTTTTCTCTATTGTTTACTCATCTCTAATAGTATCTCATGAAAATTCACATTCTGGCGCAATCTAATTTGCCGCCCATCACCTCCGCCAATAAAAAGGTTAGTATAAGTTTGTGCTGAAAATATTTACATATATATATGAGATAAAGAGATGGATCGATAGATTTATATCTTGATGATTGAAATGATCGAGTTACATATAATAAATTTAGCTCATAATTTAAAAGCTTAATTTTTTTATATTGAATTAATATCTGACCTAGTAGTATATGCTAAGATTGATCAGATTGACTTAAGGTCATCATTATTAGTTTTCTAACCGTCTACAATAACGTTTAACTAATGCAACTCGTATGTGGCAGGTGGTAGAGGAAAATGGTCGGATTTGGAGAGAGAAGAGGAGGAGGGATGGGGTTGGTCAAGATTTTACTCTTTCTTCTGGCATCCACATCAATGGGTTCAATAAGAACAGAAAGTAGATCAACAAACACAACTTTTCCCCTCCCTCTTTTCTGCCCAAAAAGTTGTGGGAATATCAGCTTCGAGTATCCTTTCGGCATCGGCGATGGCTGTTTCCGGACAGGCTTTAATCTTACCTGCAGAAACCATTCCACCAGCGCTCCCAGGCTTTTCCTGGGTGATGGCACCATCGAGGTGACGAGAATTGATATGAACCAGAGGTCCGTATATATCAAATCACCATCTGTCGTCATGGGTGTCGACGATAAGTTTAAACGCGCCTCACTGATTGACCTGGAGAATTGGCCTTACTCTTTTGAGTCAATGGAACAGATGACACGTAATTCTTATCAAGGAACGACATCTAACGAAGTTTACGTTCTGGGTTGTAGCGCTATGGCTAGTCTAGTGGATCTTACCACCAATAAAACCATTAGCACTTGTCTTAGTATCTGCGCGGCCAATGATTCGAGTCTAAAGTCAGAGTGGTCCGACATTAACAATAGATATTGCACAATGAATCTATGGTCTAAGAATTCGACTGCCTTAGAGATTCAGCTAACTCGAATCGACCAAACAGAGTTACACTTGGTGAATACCTCCAGCATCAAGGTCATGATGTTTGATGATGAAAATGATGATCTCCAAGGAGTATTAAACGGAAGTAGAACGAATGTGGAGGCCACCCTGGTATGGTACATGAATGATCATCTTTCATGTGAAGAGGCCATGAATACGGAAACATACGCTTGCCTCAGTCAAAATAGTCTTTGTCATAATATCTTTCTTGATACGGCCTACCTTAATAAGAGCATTGGATATTTATGTCGTTGTTCCGCAAGTTATCAAGGCAATCCCTATGTACCTAGTGGCTGTCAAGGTAATTTTCCTCCTCTTTCTCTCTTTAAATGAGTTCGAATAAGTATAATTAACTGGATCAAAGTGATGTAGAGTCGTGCTTCTCTGTTATGTTTAAGTTCCTGCTGATTTCTAGAAACTCAAGCAGTAACGAAGATGCCTAATTGTGCAAGAATCCAACTTGCGTAATACTGTTATTATTTATAGAAAATCACCACTTGGAAACAAAAAGATTGAATTGAAATCATGAGGCATACTCTTTAATTAGGTAACCATAAATTCTTTAGGCAATGACCGAATATATTTGCATGTCTCAAATATAATTGATGTATATTTTGACTCTGGAACAAAAACATATTATTCTGCTGCTGACCACTTTGATCATATCAACAGATAAATCTTTTACACCTGCTGCTGCTGCTCCTGCTGCTGCTGCAAACGGCTGTCTTACTAAATGCGGGAGTATTGACGTCTTCTTTCCATTTGGGCTGGAGAAAGGTTGTTATAGGGACGACTCATTTGCTCTGACATGCAATACTACATCCAATCCTCCCACCCTCCTTTTAGATTACCTTAACATAGTGCATAATATATCGCTGGAGGAAGGCCAATTGGAACTCGAGGAAAAAGGCACTTTCAGCTACATTGGCAATAGCACCAGACCTTTCGTCTTTTTTAAAGGTCAGACCATCGTTAGTTGGGTGATCGAGTTCCAGCTTTGCGAGGATGCTAAGAAGAACACGACCACCTTCGCATGTGTCGACGCTCACAGCTCATGTATCGACACAACAATTACTAACGACGATGGCAAGTTTGTGGGATACCGTTGCAAATGCTGGCAAGGTTACCAAGGAAATCCTTACATGCCTAATGGATGCACAGGTGCTTCACTCTTTTCTCAAACTTCCATCTTGACACTCTGTTACTCCACTATCTGATATGACGTTTCTAAGCCAACACAATATATTTGAGATAAATCATAACAATATAGGCTCAATGAATGTTTCTTTGCAGAATGTGATCTATCATATCTATTGATAGTAGATGAATTAGTACTATTCCCCAACAGGGTTAATGACAAGAATCATCACGAAACACTGTAGAAAAATTATAACATTATGATCATTTTAACGATTATATAATTATAACTTACCTACACAACAAATACTATGTTTTTTTTTATATAACTTAAAGTTAAAAATACATGAACATGCCTTTTCTGAGAGGAAAAATTGAGCGACAAATATGATCAAACAGCCCACAGCAGAATAACTATAAATAACAATCGAAATAGTGATCATACAAGTA